AAAGGACAGGGATGGGAGTCTGTGGTCCCAGTGCCCAAAGGAGTGGGCAAGCAGTTAGTGGCAACAGCAGGGGCCCAGTTGTCAGAGACTTTTCATAGCTTCCTTGGAAGGAATTCTGGCCACACCCCATTCACGCCCTGCAGGACGCAACAGCTGAAATCAGTGAAGAGTCTGTTCAGCGCTTTGAAGCCTACTGTAATCCCAACATTTAGAAGGCTGAGGCAGGAAGATTAAACTGAGTATGAGTCTAGCCAGTGGGCTACGGACTGAGACCTTGTCTGAAAAAAATAAATAGGAAAGAAGGAGGGAAAAGGTGAGAGAGAGAGGGAGGGAGGGAGGGACAGAGGAGGGAGGGAGGGAAAGAAAGAGAGAAAGAGAGCAGGGACCTGAGGAGAGAAAACTGCAGCCTGTGCCCATGCACTGGTAAGTAGGATCTGACATCCTGCCACTAGCCACACCCACAGTAGCAGCTATCTCTGTCCCCAGCTGATCATATGCTTTTGAGAGGACTAGACATGAGCACAGATAGATACGCAGAGTCTTGAAAAGTGCAGAGAAGAACACAGACAAACCATTGAGTGGACCTAGAAGACAGTGAAATAGGAAGGAGAAAAAATCAGTGAAAACTGGGTCTGAACGAGGACCAAACAGAAATGCTGAAAATGAGGAGCGAGTCTTTAAAAAAAAGTTCAATTGAGGATTAGGGAGGTGGCTCAGTGGCTAAGAGCACCCAATGGCTGCTCCTGCAGAGAACCTGAGTTCAGTTCTGAGCTCAAACCCATCTGCAACTCCAGTTGCAGGGGACCCACCCAACACCCTCTTCTGGCATCTGAAAACACTCCATGTACATAGTATATATACATACTTTCATACACAACACACACACAATGTACATGCCAAACATACATATAAAATAAAATAAAAATAAATATGGCTGGAGAGATGACTCAGCAGTTCAGAGCACTTGTTCCAGCACGTATATGGTGGTTCACAAACATTCATAATGCCAGTTCCAGGGAATATAATCCCTCTTCTGATGCCCCACAGGGACTGCCCACACTGATGTACAGACAGGCATGCAGGCAAAACATTTATACACATAAAATAAAACAAATAAACCTAAAACAAAAGTTTAAAATGAATATCTTTTAGGAAGTTCATTTGAAAGCCTCAGGTACAGAACACATCAAGTGGGAAAGAGAATACGAGAACTTAAAGATAGACCTTTCAAAACACCAAATTCAGACAAAGCAGAAAGGAAAAAAGAGGACGTTCAAAATTTTGGGGAAACCATTAAATAAACAAACATTGCTATCATTGTTATACTCAAGTCAAGAAAATAAAGTTTAAGGGGTAGAGAACTCATTAAGTGAAAAGCTAACAGAAAACTTTCCTAGCCCCAGAAAGACATAGACATCCATGTACAGAAGACGTCTGGACCCCAAAAAGACATGACCAGAAAGGATCCTCACCATTGTAACGAGACTGTCTAAAGGACAGGCCAGCACTGGTGTTATAGCTCAGTACTAGAAAGCCTGACTAGCAAACTTAAGCCCTGGGTTAACTCCCAGGACAACAACAACAATAATAAATCAATGAACAGCCAAGTACATAACAAAAAAGAACTATGAAATCTACAGGTGCTAGATCACATTTAATAGCAGCCCCATTAGATTAAGAGGAGATTTCTCAGCAAAAGCCCTGCAGGCAAAGAGGGTACAGAATGTCACATTTCCAGTCATAAAAGAAAACAACTGCCTGTCAAGATTACTATACTCAGCAAAGCTATCCTTCAGAAGCGAAGGGGAAGCAGAGATCTTCCAAGATAAGGAAAACCTGAGGAAACTCAGAACTACCAAACCAACCTTACAACAGCTGCTTCATGAGGGATTCAGAAGGGAAAGAAAGAAGATACACAAAATAGAAGATACACAGAAGACATATCCAACATGGTGGACGCAATAAACCATCACATCACAATGGTGAGAAAGAGGGAAACAAAAGGTTCTCAAAACAGCTAGAGGGAAAATCCACAAAATGGTGACCATAATGCTGTATCTTTCGATAAAAACTTAAGTAAACCAAATTCTCTAGTTAAAGCATACAGGCTATTGGAGTATGGTAATGTATGCCTATGCCTATAACCCTCGTGCTTGAGAGGCTGAGGCAAGAGGATTTTGAGTTCAGGGCTATCCTGGCTACATAGTGAGTTTGATGGGGCATAGTAAGACTACGAGCCTTGACTGCACAGTGAGACCCTGTCTCAAAATAATAAACAGTAAAAAAAAAAATCAAAAAAGAAAACAACAAAAGAAACAAAACCCACCAACATCTGCTGCTGCCAACACCAGTAAAACTCCTAACACCAGTAAAGACAAACAACCAAAAGGAAAAGGACAGAATGTTTCCAGTAAATGGAAGAGAGGAAGATTCAGATGGGGTAAAATTGAAAGGGAGAGCTCACATTGCAGCTGACATCATAAAAGTACAAAGGAAGGTGAAAAGTATTTTTATAACTATGTGAACAAATAAGAAAAAGTGGACACATCCTTGGAAAATCTATAATGTGATAAATAATCATGTTGGGTATAAAAAAGGATAATGGAGTGGAGTGGGAATTATTAGCAGTAGAGGCCTAAAATCCTGGTACTTGGGTAGCTGAGGCAGGAGAAACACAAGCTCCACACAGCCTGGACCACATGAATAGACTCTGTACACAGACACACACACATACACACACATGTATATAAAACTTATATGTGTAGGGGCTGGAGAGATGGCTCAGAGGTTAAGAGCATTGCCTGCTCTTCCAAAGGTCCTGAGTTCAATTCCCAGCAACCACATGGTGGCTCACAACCATCTGTAATGGGGTCTGGTGCCCTCTTCTGGCCTGCAGGCATGCACGCAGACAGAATATTGTATACATAATAAATAAATATTTAAAAAAACTTATATGTGTATATATAAATTATATACATATATTATATGTTATATATACAATATATACATATGTATATAATATTCATTATATGTGTATATATAATTTTTACTCAGAAGTCCAGAAACTCCAGGCCCAGCTACTGGCTAAGTAGGATCTTGGTTTGCAAATGGCTACTTTCTTGCTATGTTGTCACATAGAGGAGATGGATATCTTGTCTCTCTCCTCTTTCTTACAAGCTATGCAGAATTACCCAACTATGCCTAATTACTTCCCAAAGTCCTCCCTGCAAATAACACAGCATCACACTGCAGGTTAAGGCTTCAACATATGAATGGCTAGTGCCATAAGCATTCAGGCCTAACAGATGGCAGAAGTCATGAGAGTGGAGTTTTAGTTTTTAGTTCACTGGTCATCTGATGTTGAAAGTGAGCTGACTGCCTGGGCCTGAGCAAACAAGAGGGTTATAGGAGACAATATCCGGAGTGATTTCTGATCCTAACACTGTCATTCCATATACCCTGCCCTTACTAGCACTCAGATACACCAAGCCAGAGCACAACAGTAACAAAAATCTGGCTTCTTAACAACCGCGCATGTTAGACTACCGTTCCATCATTGTGACAAAACGCCAGGCACAAAAAAGTTCAAGGGGCAAAGACTTCAAATTTGAGGTTTTAGTTCAAGATCAGTTTGATCTGTTGCTCTTTGGTCTGGGATGCAAAAGATTAAGTATGGAGAAAGCAAAACTGTTCCAGCCCATGGCAGCAAATACAAGTCTTTACTCAAAGACACGTGCAGTCCCTCACGCTAGCAATTCTCCTCCTCTGAACTCACACAGTGTCCTCTGTGCACGTTTGCATTCAGTTCCTGCCACTGTGACATCATAGAGGGAAGGGCTATATTTACCTCCTGCTCCCAGCCTGTGGTCGTTTGACACGTGTCTGGGCTCATGGTGAAACGGAAGAGTGTCAGAAAGCGCATGCAGTCCGCAGTTAGGCACCTCCTGGTAGCCAAGAATCAAAAAGAGAGGTAGAAGGAGTAAAAACCTAATATCTCCACCACTGACTTCCTAAGGTCAAAAGTTCTGGAAAACTCAGTATTCAAACTTGGTCCCCCATGTACTCAACACCAAACATTTAAGTATATGTGCTCGGTGACCTAAATTCAAGTAGAACCCACCATATCCTGGTTATCCCACAGGCTTGGTGACCAAGCCCTTAGTATATAACCTTCAGGGGATGTTTATAATCCACCCCCATAACACCTAGTCTTAGAAGATTTATTTAAGTGCTTCTGTGTGTAGTTACCAGCAGAGGACAGCAGGAGGTGCCAAATAACCTGGAACTGGATTACAAACTGTCGTGAGCCTCCTGATGTGGGTGCTGGGAAATGAACTTGAAGAGCAGCAACATTCTTAACTACTGAGCCCTCTCTCGAGCCCTAGTAACACTTTTCTTAAATAGTTCATCGCTTTCTTTTTTGTTTCATTTAATCAAGATGACTTTAGAGTCCCCAAAATCAAAAGTTCCTGGAAAAGACAGTGTTTACCTTGGTCCTTTGTGAACTCAATACCAAACACAAAGTGTATATGCTCAAAACATCTTTCCCTTATGAATTGCAGATGGACACTGGCATCTATCTAAAAATGGGACTGTGAGTGGAATGGAGAATTTGGGCGTAATGAGGGCCTACTATGTGTTGAGCAGTGTGCTAAACGTAGCTTTATTCTTTGTTTTATTTAGAACTTTCCAGAAGCCCCATGGATGTATTAAAAATTGATGAAAAGGACTGACTATGTAGCTTGGTAAGAAGTAGGAAAGCCTGAGGTCACAGCCAGGAGTCTGCGGGTCTCACACTCTCCCTGTGGCCGATTCTCTCAGAGGATTCGCACACAAGCCCCTCCCGCGGCGCTCTCGTGACGTCATCACGCGCGGCCGGGCGGGCGCCCTCGGGGCTTTAAATGAGGCCTTTCTAGGCGCGCAGCAGTGAGTGCGGCAAAGCGTGTGTAGAGGGGTCGGCTTTTCCCCGGGCCAGAGCTGCTTGGGACCCTGAGGTGGGCGGAAAGGTTGCTGCGCGCGGACTCGGGCTCGCCGGAGACGCGAGGGGCGGGAGAGGGAACATGGCGGCCCGGGTCTGAGGCAGCGCCTCACCGGGCTTTCCTCCCAGGCCTTTGTCGGCAGCTTTCCTCACGTGCTCTCCTCGGCAGCTTTCCTCACTACTTACCGTTTCCGATACTTTCTCTTCTTTGCCGTCCCTCAGTTCCCCCTGCGCTCACCGTCCCCTCCCCGCGCCCTCAGCCCCACTCTGAGGTAGGTAGGCTGAGAAGGACGCCCATGAGACCCCACAGGTGACCAGGGGCCAATTCCTGCCTTTGACTCTTAACTATACCACGCCCGCACGGGGCGACAGAACAAGCACCCGGTGTGGAGAAATCACACTTAAGCTGCAGTCGTGTGCCTGATGAACCCTCCGAGGGTTCCTGGGAATTGCCAGCCCCTGAGCCTCAGAAATGCAAAGCTCTCTTTGAAAGATCCAGGGAGCCTTTTCTGTGTATTGTGTGACAGGATCTGCCCCCATGACAGTCTGCGACTGGAGGGAATGGATGCTGCCTGCCATAGTGTCAACCGTGCGAGAACACCCTCTGCTTTGGGTTCTCAGAACTCAACTGATGTCCTTGCGTCTGTCGAAGGAAAGTGACTCCTTCTGTGTCATCTTCGCCACAGAGAATCGTGGTGGCAGTGTTCTGTCGCTTGTTAGTCAGTTGAGAGAAGATGTTAAACCAAGGGTCTTTCGCGCCCCAGTCCAGAATCTAGGTTTGATCTTGACCTTTTTGTTTTTCTTCAGTTGAATGTAGATTCTAGGAAGGATCCCATGCTCACTACCTTGGAGCCTTCACTGCCAGGCTGGACTCTGGTGGGCTAGAGTGAAGGAGAGCGCTAGGAAGATGAGCTCTAGCGTAACCGTGAGTGAACCAAGGCTGAACTGGTGAGTCGGACCTCTTCCTCATCCACTCTGGAGGAGTGAGACAGGGACGGTGGGTAGCACAGGAAGGGAAGGGCTCTGGCTTGAGAGGGTTTTTAAAAACATTTTTTTTTCAGGGCCTCAGATTTTACCCTGTTCATATACCAAAACTTTTGAGTTGTAGCTGACTAATTTCCAGACAACTCAGCACTCAGGGTTAGTTGTCATTTCATCTGAATTGTTGTTCTCTTGTGGAGGAGAAGTGCTGAAATTGTTCTCAACAGTTTCAGTTTTTTAAATTCCTTCACTCAAGCATCGACCATAACAGATCGGTCTCAATTATAATGGTCACTTTAGTATACCTAGAGCTTACTATGGAGACCAAACTGGCCTTCAACTCAGAGAGATCCACCCACCTGCTTCTGCATCCTGAGTGCTGGATTAAAGGTGCTGTTCACCATGGCCAGCCTGTGTCGAATCATCTACAACACTTCCTAGTACTGCAGTGTGTGTTCACATGCGATGCACGTACCCCTGCACCCCGCTGGCACCGTGAAAGCAAAAACGATTTTGCAGTGTTAAAGACCTGGGAGTGCTTTCTTCTCACAGAGTCCTACTGATCAGTGTCCTCCCTAGATTAGTTAACCTCAGTATTTTTTCAATTTCTTTCTTTTATTTAACCGGCATTGACTATAATAATTTCAAACTGGTTTTGATGTTATAAAACTCATCACTTTAGAGGTGGTTTTAGCAAATATCCATCATTTACCCCATTTAACCAAGTCAAGAAAAGTCAGCAGTAAATAACATAGCCAGTGTTTTCACCTGGGGCAATAGTACATGAAACTCGGGAGGCAGAGGCAGGCGGATCTCTGTGAGTTCGAGACCAGCCTGGTCTACAGAGCTAGTTCCAGGACAGGCTCCAAAGCCACAAAGAAACCCTGTCTCGAAAAAAAAAAAAAAAAAAAAAAAAAAAAAAAAAAAA